CCTAGGCGTGAATTTGTTTAAGGTGTAGAAGCTGTCGCCAACACAACAACCACACCCTGAGTTAACGAGCTGCATGACCCAGTGTCAAGGAATAATCCGCGGAGACCGGACAACTCGCCAACTGCACTGGCTAACTATTACCCCGGAACACGATCCGCAAATCAATTAACATCCAGGTTCCCAATTACTGCCGGGTAGACAGAGGCAAATGGCGTAAAGAAACTTGCCCATAGTTTCACCCTGCCCGGGGATAGAACCTGGTCTGCTCGCTTGCAAGGCGAGCATGCTGACCATTACACCACAGGTCGTCATACAGATAATAAACTCTATACGGTATAACTTTCCCACAGACAATCTTACAAGTATAATTTCAAAGTCTAAAACCTCAAATAATTATGGCTTAGAGAGAGAGAGAGGAGAGAGAAGAGAGAAGAGAGAGAGAGAGAGAGAGAGAGAGAGAGAGAGAGAGAGAGAGAGAGAGATAAACCAGGTAAAACATTAGCACGACACCTGACACACACTTAGGGGAACAACTCCTTATCAACAACAAACACAAAATAAACCGAGTATGGGACCGACATTTTCATAATTATATTCCAAAGATGAATAAAATAATAATATTCTTCACTATCACACACACACACACACACACACACACACACACACACACACACACACACACACACACACACACACACACACAACACACACAAACTTTCACCAGACTCGCTTATGATATTAGACAGAAATAAAATAGTAGATCTTACGTCCTGTGGTTTATTTTATTAGACAGTGGAGAAATAATAGAGGCGGACATTACTCTTCCCAAAGTTGATTTTATTAGACAGAAGAAATAATGAGAAACGAGAAATTTTATATATATATATATATATATATATATTTTTAATGCTTATGCCTTCGGAAGTAGGAGGGAGGAGGAAGAAGAAGAAGAAGAAGAAGAAGAAGGAATGAAGTAGGAGGAGGAATACGGTTGAAGCAGGTAGAGAAGGCACAGGAGGATGGTTGAAGGGGGAGGAGGAAGAGGATTGGAGGAGGAAGAGGATTGGAGGAGGAAGAGGATTGGAGGAGGAAGAGGATTGGAGGAGGAAGGGGATCGAAGGAGGAAGAGGAGGATTGAAAGAAGAGGAGGAATAGGGTTGAAGAAGGTAGAAAAAACAGGCGGGGGTTGGAGGAGGAGGAGGTGGATAGAAGGAATAAGAAGAGGAGTGAAGGAGGAAGAGAGGGTTGAAGAGGAAAGAAGAGGAGGAGGAGGGAGAGGTAAATTAGAGATTCAGGAGGCACCAGGGTCAAGATGTGGGAGGTCAGGTGGGGTCAAGACCTTGGCTGTAGTCATTAATGTGTTGTGAAAGTTGTTGTATGTGTTTGTTTTATTCTAGACGTGTCGGTGAGTTTTGTTTGTAGCCTCTCTCTCTCTCTCTCTTTATTGTTTGTGTCTCTTTCTTTTTTATTCGTTTTAGCCTTCCTCATTTTCTTTCTCTTATTTATCCCTCCTTTCTATATTTTTCTTTCCGTTTGTCTCTTTTAACGATGTTTTTCCCCATTTTTCATTTTGTCTCTTTGTCTTCCGATACTTTCTTTTTTTTATCTTTGTTTTCCTATTCTGTTTATTACTTTATCTCTCTAACTGTCTCTCACTCTCTTTTCTATATACGGAGAGGAGGAGGGAGACAGAATCGACAGTCATTTACATATTATCTCGGTAACCTAACCTAACCTAACCTAACCTAACCTAACCTAACCTAACCTAACCTAACCTAACCTAACCTAACCTTGCCAAGGGCTGCATATCTTTTGGTTTTCGCGCCATGGTAAAACAAAAATAAACCCTCTGCGTTGGGTTGAAATTTGCGTAAAAGTTTCATATTTCACATTTTTCTTATTCTTGTCGTTCACTGTGTTCTTTGGGTGATCACCATGAGAGAGAGAGAGTCGCTGCGGTACCTGGCGGTCATTAAGTGCACCACTACAGGATCAAAACAAGACGGTAACCTGGCTTCGTGGCATTAGTTATCAAGAGCTTCGGGCAGTAAAAACTTATGTCCAGCTATTGTTATAGACTTTATAAATCACGAAAATATCAAAATATTAATCAACATCTCCTTGAGTGTTACAAACGTGGTTCTCATCTTACTAAGTGTTGTTAGCAAGACGAGACAAAGTGAACACATCCAACTTCTAAAAAAGATACTGGTCTTGTGTGTGAGATTATCAGGAGAGTTGATGGATGAAGTGACGGCATCATACTACAATGGAAGACTCCCAGGATCGTCTGAAGTTACACTAAGGTGAGGCTCCTCTTGTCACGTGTAATATGATGTTTGACAATTAATCTTTAACCTCACTATCTAAGCCAGTTTGCGCCTGGTCTTTTTGGCACGACAGGTAAATAAACACTTTCAATTTATCTTAGTTCATTCCTCGCCTATGTCTTTTTTCTTATCACCCATGTTTCTGGTTTTTTTTCATCGTCTTATTACATGGAAAGGTAAAACCAGACTAAGACATATTAAACACTACTGCGATACAGTGACTCCTACCCACACTAAACCACTGCTGTGTTCCTCTGCTTATATCTGTCTCTCTTCATGGTCTGTTGGGGACTTTCATTAATACATACTATTATCAGTATTGTGGATTTTTCTCTCGCATTCCCCCTCACAGCCGAGCGAAGGACTCTCACCTGGCGCAGGTGTGCGGGTAATTGCTGCGACTACATAAACATTTTCACAACTATGATGTTGACTTTCTGATCTCCTCCCTGTTGTGGCATTACTTCCCCTAACGCTCTACCCTTCAGCTAGATATCCTGTACAATTTATACTTCACTCATATACTTCACCCAGAAAATTTTCTAATAATTAATGAATTCAATCACACAAGACCGCAGAAATCTCATCATAAAATATTATAAAATCAAGGTTATCTAATCATGAAATAATATATAAACCAAGTATTTTAGCCAAAAAAAAAAATTATCACCAAAATATTATAAAAACCCAAACAGTAAAATTGCAGAATACCACAAATTAACCAGTAGTGGGGCGGCTCTCGCCTCCCTCCAACCCTACAACTTGTAAACAACTTCGAAATAATTTGCTTCAGTATATAACTGTTGAGGAAGGGAAGGTTGGCTCTCCACCCCATCGCACGTACGCACGCACAAAATCCTGGGAGGCATAATTGTGGAATGGGACAGCTGATGAGGCATATGAAGGTAACTTGTGTATACAGAAAACAATGTGAAGGACAACCATTACTATGAGAGGGTACTGACAAAAATACACTCTCTCCTTTGCCTAACCCCTCACCCCAGACTGTTTCATCACCCCAGACTGCTTCATCACTAGACTGCTTCATCACCCCAGACTGTTTCATCACCCAGACTTTTCCAGACTGTTTCATCACCAGTGTTTTAGACTCATCACCCCAGACTGCTTCATCACCCCAGACTGTTTCATCACCCCAGACTGTTTCATCACCCCAGACTGTTTCATCACCCAGACTGTTTCATCACCCCAGACTGTTCATCACCCCAGACTGCTTCATCACCCCAGACTGTTTCATCACCCCAGACTGTTTCACAGACTGTTTCATCACCCCAGACTGTTTCATCACCCAGACTGTTTTCATCACCCCAGACTGCTTCATCACCCCAGACTGCTTCATCACCCCAGACTGTTTCATCATCACCCCAGACTGTTTCATCACCCCAGACTGTTTCATCACCCCAGACTGTTTCATCACCCCAGACTGCTTCATCACCCAGACTGTTTCATCCCCAGACTGCTTCATCACCCCAGACTGTTTATCACCCAGACTGTTTCATCACCCCAGACTGTTTCATCACCCCAGACTGTTTCATCTTCACCCCAGACTGCTTCATCACCCCAGACTGCTTCATCACCCCAGACTGTTTCATCACCCCAGACTGTTTCACATCACCCCAGACTGCTTCATCACCCAGCGCTATCACCCCAGACTGTTTCATCACCCCAGACTGCTTCATCACCCCAGACTGTTTATCACCCCAGACTGCTTCATCACCCCAGACTGTTTCATCACCCCAGACTGCTTCATCACCCAGACTGTTTCATCCTTCATCACCCCAGACTGCTTCATCACCCCAGACTGTTTCATCACCCCAGACTGCTTCATCACCCCAGACTGTTCATCTCTAGACTGCTTCATCACCCAGACTGTTTCATCACCCCAGACTGCTTCATCACCCCAGACTCCTGTTTCATCCAGACTGCTTCATCACCCCAGACTGCTTCTTCACCCTCACCTTTGCTTCATCACCCAGACTGCTTCATCACCAGACTGTTATCACCCCAGACTGCTTCATCACCCCAGACTTCTCCCCAGCCTTCAACCATACCCAGACTGCTATCACCCCAGACTGCTTCATCACCGACTATCCAGACTGTTTCATCACCCCAGACTGCTTCATCACCCCAGACTGCTTCATCCCCAGACTGCGACTGTTCATCCCCGACTGTATCACCCAGTGTTTCATCACCCCAGCTGCATCACCCCAGACTGTTTCATCACATCATGCTCTTATCACCCCAGACTGTTTCATCACCCAGACTGTCTATCACCAGACTGTTTCATCACCCCAGACTGTTTCATCACCCCAGACTGTTTCATCACCCCAGACTCTATCGACTGTTTCACCCCAGACTGCTTCATCACGTGTTTCATCACCCCAGACTGTTTCATCACCCCAGACTGTTTCATCACCCCAGACTGTTTCATCACCCCAGACTGCCATCACCCCAGACTGCTTCATCACCCCAGACTGCTTCATCACCCAGACTGTTTCATCACCCCAGACTGTTTCATCACCCCAGACTGCTTCATCACCCCAGACTGCTTCTTTCACCCCAGCTAGACTGTTTCATCACCCCAGCTGCTTCATCACCCCAGACTGTTTCATCACCCCAGACTGCTTCATCACCCCAGACTGTTTCATCTAGACTGCTTCATCACCGAACTGCTTCATCACCCCAGACTGTTTCATCACCCCAGACTGCTTCATCCCCAGACTGTTTCATCACCCCAGACCTTCATCACCCCAGACTGTTCATCTCCCAGACCTTCATCACCCCCAGACTGCTTCATCACCCCAGACTGTTTCATCACCCCAGACTGCTTCATCACCCCAGACTGCTTCTTCACCCCAGCATGCCCCTCCACCCAACCTGTTTCATTACCCCATCATGCTTTCTCCCCTAACCTGCTTCATCACCCCAGACTGCTTCATCACCCCAGACTGTTCATCACCCCAGACTGCTCCTCCAGACTGTTTCATCACCCAGACTTCATCACCCCAGCTTCACCCCAGACTGTATCACCCCAGACTGCTTCATCACCCCAGACTGCTTCATCACCCCAGACTGTATCACCCCAGACTGTTTCATCACCCGACCTTCATCACCCCAGACTGCTTCATCACCCCAGACTGTTTCATCACCCCAGACTGCTTCATCACCCCAGACTGTTTCATCACCCCAATTCTTCATCACCCCAGACTGTTTCATCACCCCACTGCTTCATCACCCCAGACTGTTTCATCACCCCAGACTGCTTCATCATAGACTGTTTCATCACCCCAGACTGCTTTCACCCCAGACTGCTTCATCACCCCAGACTGTTCATCACGACTGCTTCATCACCCCAGACTGTTTCATCACCCCAGCCTTCATCGACTGTTTCATCACCCCAGACTGTATACCCCAGACTGCTTCATCACCCCAGACTGTTTCATCACCCCAGACCTTCATCACCCCAGGCTCTTCTTCACCCAGCATGCCCCTCACCAACCTGTTTCATTACCCATCATGCTTTCTCCCCTAACTCTTCATCACCCCAGACTGCTTCATCCTCCAGCTTGCTTCATTACACAGCCTGCTTCATCCTAGCCTGCTTCATCACCCCAGACTGCTTCATCACCCCAGACTGTTTCATCACTCAGCCTGCTTCAGCACCTAGCCTCTTCATCACCCCAACTTCTTCATCACCCCAGACCTTCATCACTCAGCCGCTTCATCACCCTAGCTGCTTCATCACCCCAGTCTGCTTCATCATCCCTTCTTCCCCCCCCCCCTCCTTCCCCCTCTGTAAGCCTCCTTCCCCTCTCATCTTCCCCACCCAAGTCTTATCCCTATAACAGCCAACAATCTTCACCCATCACTCACCCTAGCTTCCCCACCCACCACCAACCCCACTATTCTAGTTCCCTCCCACCCTATCACTCCAGCCTAACAACTCCCACCTCCTCTACCAGTCTACCAATCTCCCCACCCCAGGTCCGTCCCCCACCCTACCCCCGCCAAATCACAGCCTCCCCCGACCATCTTAGCCTCCCCCACACCAGCTCCGTTACCTCCTCAATCGCCACAGTTCACCCTCCCCAAGACCTCACTTCCGTCACACTGCACAACATAAACATGGTTAGGCTGGCAGTCAGAGGATTACAAGACCAAGAGGTGTCAAGCCACAGCTCTGGTGTATGATGGCAATGTGATGACCCCACAAGTGTATATAGAACTATATATATATAACTGCCTATGTATATATGCTTATACTAACCATACGCTGCACATACCCTTATTTTTCCTACATATAGCGTAACTTTTATGTAAATCACAAATATCAAACACAACACTTTCATGTTAACAACAGAGTACTGAAGAGTACAATATGAAGATGGACTCAAGCACGTATGTGTTGAGAGGTTTACTTAATTCAGTACACTGTAGTCCTGTAGTGCGAATACAGCACAGTGAATACAAAACGTCGGGAGAAATGAAAATAATGTGACTGGCACTGCACTCCACTCCGTTCGCTTCCCAAACTAAAGTCATGTACTGTACCCTCTCACAGTTGGGTCAATTAGGGGTGTTTCGGGCGCGACCCAACCAGTAATAATAATAATAATAATAATAATAATAATAATAATAATAATAAAATAATAATAATAATAATAATAATAATAATAATAATAATAATAATAATACACCCACCTATTACTCCCCTGTACACCCTACAAGGTGATTACCAATATATGGGTAAAATACCACAATTTTTACACAGAGTCGTGTTCAAATTATCTCGCTGACACAAAAATTATACGTGGAGGATGTCAGCAAGGTGGTATAATCCAGCCTTCCACCTCCTGCTAATAATAATAATAATAATAATAACAATAATAATAATAATAATAATAATAATAATAACAATAATAACAATAATAACAATAACAATACTACTACTAATAATACTACTACTACTACTAATAATAATAATAATAATAAAACTCACTAATCAATGAAAACGAAAAGGGGTAGGATCTCTCTCTCTCTCTCTCTCTCTCTCTCTCTCTCTCTCAATAAGCTATGTAAAAAGTAAATATGTTAAAAAATCAGTAAGATCTCGACCAACAATTCATTATTGACCCACTAACTTATTGGTAAATTATAAAGAGGACAAACACACACACGGACGGATCTAAGAACCGATTTGAGTATTAAACAAAATACAACAAGTAAAAGTTTCCTTGTCTCTTGGGTGACTAAATCCTATCCGCTCCCTCATCCACCTCTCCTTTCCCTTCCCCTCCAACACAATTTCTTCCCCTTTCCCAACCCCCTTCCACCACCTCCTTTCTCTTTAAACTTCCTCCCTTTACCTTTATCTCCCACTCCCTCTCCACCACCCCTCTCTCCTCTCCACCTCCTCCTTACTCCCCCTTCTTCCACTACGCCATCCCCCCTCCCTCTTCACTTACCCCTCCCCCCTCGCCTCTCTAGCACCCTCTGCTACCAATATGCTAGATATGTCTTGGACTTTTTACTTTCCAGATATTTTCGAGTCTACTGTCTGACTCAGGTAAGAGGAAGTTAATTCATTCAGGTGTGTCATTTTACCTGTCTTGGTACACAGTTCACCGGTGTGGAATATTGTGTTATAGGGTGTAGGGAGTGCGGTGGTCGAGTGGATACAGCGCTCTTCTTCTGTTCCATGGGTCGGTGGTTCGATCCCAGGGCGCTCCCGGTTCATCCAGCTGTAAATGGGTACTGTGGTCGAGTGCAGTACCGGCCATGATGCTTCCTTGTGTACCGAAGGCTTAGCGCTGTATCCACACAGTTCCTAACGGGGTGTAGTGGTGTGTGGTGTGCTGTAGTGTTCGGTTCATAGTGTTGAGAAAAGTTAGATACTGTAGTGTAGTGGAACTGGTGTATAGGATAACATAGTATTGCGTGATGCATAATTGTATAGTGTAGTGAATTAGGCTTAATACCGTGTCTATATTATCACCAAAAGTTATAAAAGGAAAACTTCGGCACTATAGAAGTTACATAAAAAGTATATATATATATATATATATATATATATATATATATATATATATATATATATCATGTAAGCCTGTCTGTGGAATTACATGAAACTGTATGATACCTTGATGAGCTTATCTCCGTTACAGAACACAATAAAATAAGTTCCCACTGTATCTAAGTTACATAAAACAGTCCATGAAGTAAACCACTGTATCTAAGTTACATAAAACAGTACATGAAGTAAACCACTGTATCTACATAAGTTACACAAAAAGGAATGAGTATATCAGGGTCACAACTCTTGTTAGCACCAACTGAGTAACTTGATGACTGGACAAGAGTAACACTCCACTGCAAGAGTCAAGACGCTGTGTACACACCCATTTTACACAGTAATATGATATAATTGGGCAAAGAGACTTGTGTATTTGTGTATGTCGGTCTTAATGTGTGTGTGTGGTGAGTGGAGGAGGGGAGAGGAAGAGAGGAGGAGCAACGGAGAGGGGGAGAGGGGGAGAGGAGGAGAGGGGAATGGTTGGTAGGAACATATTGTGTGTGTTGGGGTGGAGGAGGAAGATGTGAGTAGTGTGTTTTGTAAAGGATGAAGGAACTGGTATGTGGTGGGATGGGTAGAAGAATGAATGTGTGGGGGGATGGGTGGAGCAATGGGTGTGTGGGGGTGTAAGAGATGGGGTGTGTGGGGGTAAGATAGAAGGGTGTGTGGGGGTGTAAGAGAGGGGGGTGTGTGGGGGTAAGATAGAAGGGGTGTGGGGGATGTAAGAGATGGGGTGTTGAGTGTAAGATAGAAGGTGTGTGGGTGTAGGTGTAAGAGAAGTGGTGTATATAAATTATCAAAATTCACAATTAACTAAATGCTCGTCTTCTGGCAGGTATACTGTATACACTATTATTAGAAATACCTTTACTAAAATGCCATCATCATTATTATTATTGTATATGTTGTTATTGTTATTGTTATTATTATTTCCATCCAATTCGTGCCTAATTATCTTATACACACAAATATATCACCATTTAATTGAATCGGTAGAATGTGAACAAAAACAAAGAATTAACAATATTTCATAACGGTACAAGACCGAAAAAAAAAATCATACAAGGAAAAATAAAATTGTTAATCAGAATGAATCTCTGTAAAAGCCGTCAAAAAGCCGTGTTTCACCAGCCGTCCGCATTACTATTCTAAAGCAGTATAATGAGTGAATTTTCGGACTCCCTGAAAATGCCAACGTCGCTCCTACTTAAAAATTATTAATGAAATGAATTCAAATGAAAGTGGCAAGCCTAAAGTGTCCTAAGTAACTCTCGTGGACGGAAAAAAAAAACTATTTATTTATTGGGTTCGAAATGTTTAAAGTGAGAACATAAACCATTTTCTTTGGTAGTCTGTTTGGTGGATTTATAAGATATACAAAGGGTAGACTCTGATAGGTAGATGAGAGGAAGATATATACTGTTACTGATTAATAAAACATTTGATGAAGGTAACTTAACTCTATATGTGCTTAATGTGTAATTAGGGGTGCAGTGGCAGAGTCTCCTATCCTGAGGGTCGCTGGTTCGATTCCGGGTCACTCTTAAGCCCATCCCAATTGTAAATGGATTCCTAATTT